TCTGAGATTCTATTTTCTGTATGATCTAGTCTGCTTTTAATACTTTCAAGGGAGATTTTGACTTCCTATATTATAGACTTCATTTCTAACAGTTCCGTTTGACTCTTTTGTAAAGTGTGTAATTCCTCTTTTAGATCTTGCAAGAATTTCCTCACCTCCTGGAACTCGTCAACTTCTTTCTCCTTTCTCTTTAGCAGTTCCTTGTCTCTCTTCTCTTCCATCTCAGTTAGCTTCACCATTATGAATGTTCCAAATTCTTTATCAGACATTTCCATGATTTGCATTGAACTGCTTGTGGATGAAGAGGAGTTATTCTTTTCCCTTGGAGGAGATATTTCCTTTCTTTCCCATATATCTTGTGGTCCTGCGGTGATTTCTTGTCATCTGATGGATGGTGTTTTTCTTTCAAATTCTTGAAGTTCAATTTTGTTTGCTGGAGGCTGAATTATCAGTAGAAAATCTTCTGTTGTCAATATCTGATACTTAATATTATAGGACCACATGAGGCTAAAGGAAGCTATATTTGTTTATCAGATTTTGTCTCAAAAAGATCAGAGAAATTATATGGCGCCAGTCGTTTTTATATCTTTAGATGATTTTCATTCTAAAGAAACTGGCTTTGTATTCTATTTTTTCCTCTCCCATTTTTTGTTCTTTAAAAAAATAAATCTGAGACTGGCTTTTAGTCAGAACTTTTCCATCAGAGAAGTTGGGCCCACCCGATTCTCACTTTTCTATACTTGTGTGTTTTTGTGTGTTTGTTGTTGTCTTTGTTTCTAATTTAGCCTTTTCTACTAAAAAAAATGTGTTCTAAAAAGCAGGTCTTGACAGCTAACTTTTGAGTTCTTTCAATCATGACTTTTAGAAACCCAGTTCTTCACTATCCCCTAGATCTTAGTTTAAAACTTTAGGGTCTAGTGGCTGGTGTACTAGGGTGCTAGATCACGTGAACTGTGTGTTCAAGTCCTAGACCCAACAGCTTGAAATTCACACCAGGTACATGTGCATGTGTGCCCAAAATCTCAACAGAAGAATGAAGGAGAAGGGATAGTATCATGGCCATCCCTCCTGGGAGGTGAATTTTTACTTTCCCTCTCTCTGTCTCTCTCCTGTCTCTATCTCTCTGACAAGCTCACTGGGTCTATGGCAAACATCTAAAACTTTAATATACGTCTGCTTCTGGTAGAATGCTAGTATCATGAGAGCAAGAACCTTGTCACCCTTTTTATAAATTTCTTTTTATTTGCAAGATGGTGTGTGTGCTCACCATATAGACAGAGAGAGAGGGAGAAAGAGAAAGTACTCCCCAGTGGGGCATGGTAGTGCTTCTCCTCCATTTCTCCATCCTTTTGGGATTCGTTGCACAAATCCACAAGTGCCCAACGTATTTTTCAAGATGCTGGGACCTGGATTTGAATCACACATCCCATCATGTGGGATCTGGCTGTCTTAACCACCAGGCCACAGGCTTGCCCACCCTTCTTTATACTGTATCTCTAGTACCTATAATTGTGTATGTTCTACAGAATGACTCATTAAGTATCTGTTGAATATATTAATCACTTGAGACCAGCAGATGGCATAATGGCTATGTTGCTGAACTCACATGTAGTCTACCAGGGTTTGAGTCCCAGACCTGGTGGCTTAAACTCACGCCAGACACGTGTGTGTGAGTGCCCAAGATCCCAAGAGGAGAATGGAGGAGAAGGGATTGCGGCGTGGCCATCCCTCCTGGGGGGTGATTTCTTGCTTTCTATCTCTCTCTCTCTGTCTTTCTGGCAAGCACACACACCCTATAGCAAAAACCTCTCAAAGAGAAAAAGAAAAAAGAAAAAAGAAATGAATATATGAATCAATCAAAATAGCTTTCTGTAAATGTAGATATAATTATTTACCAATACAGAATGGAATGGTAAATTCTATAACAAAAGAAAACTTCATGTTGAGAGAAGGGAGGAATATTTTGACTTCTTGACTGAATTATAAAATCACAGGAGAGTGAGGAGCAGAAATCCATGTGCAAAATATTAAAAATAAAAACAGAGATTGCTGAATTATAAGGCACACTTAAGCATGGCGCAAAAGTCAGAGGAAGCCCATTCATCCCTAAGTCAGATAGATGAGGAGTATCTGATCATCTCTCAGAGAAAACATAATCAATTCTAAAGTATCACCCCCAAAAGAGTACATTAACTTAAGCAATGATCCTGAACATGCTTAAAATCTTATTTTATAGGATCCTAGTATGCAAATCAAGACTTAAGCAAAATACCTCATACAATAACATTTAATACTTTATTACATAAAGAAATTACAACCAACTCATTTATATTATTTGTGTTTAAATAGGACCTATTAATTACTTCTTTTACAAAAGGACAAAATATAGATGTATTAATTAAAAGTAAACCATAAAAATCATCGTAAATCAAAATCACATTCTAAGTGATAACCAGACTATGATGTGACTTTTTAAAAAATAGATTTTGCCATAGGGTGTGTGAGCTTGCCAGAGAGAGAGATGAGAGAGAGAGAGAAAGGGAAAGTGAGAAATCCCCAGGGGGGATGACTATGCCACAGTCCCTTCTCCTCCATTCTCTTTTAGCATTTTGGGTCTGAACACATGTGCAGCTGGTGTGTTTTTCAAGCCATAGGGTCCAGGACTTGAACTGCATAATTGGCCGTGTGAGATCTAGAGCCTTAACCACCACCCCACCTGCTGGCCCCAGCTGATAATGTAACTTTAAGACTTTGAATATTTCCTGATTTAAATGTCAGTGAGAGGGGCCAGCAGGTAGCATGGTGGTTAAGGTGCTGGACTTCTACATGGTCAGCAGCAGTTTGAGTCCCTGACCTGGTGGCTTGAAAATCACACTGGGAGCATATGTGTGTGCTCTAAATTCCAGGAGAAACTCGAGGCGAAGGGCTTGTGGTGTGGCCATTCCCCCTGGCGGGTGATTTCTCATTTTCTCTCTCACTGTCTTTGTCTCTCTCCGTCCCATGAGTGCACGCACCCTATGACAAAAAAAAAAACTTAAAAAAAAAAAAAAGTCAGTGAAAAAATATGTGAAAGACTTGTGAAAAAACAGCATACATTATTCATTCAGCCAACTTTTTTTAATGTTCAAAGTCCCTCAGAGCATAGGAAGAGAACTTCTGTCCTCTGGATCCTTCGTTCAAAATCACTATCGTGGGACGTGTTCAATCTGAGATTCCATTCGTTAGCAAACAACAGGGGACAGAGCAAACTGCTGTCAGGTGCCCAGAAGTCTGAAGGTGGGCAGTGACATCATGCGGGAGCCGCCTGCCTTTCCGAGCTTCCACCTTAGCATACGAGTTTTGTCCTCGCGTGGTCGATCTGTGGTCACCAGACGGTCGCTCCACCTCCAGCAGTGCAGTCTGAGTAGGAAGAACATGACAAAGGACAAACGCAAGTACCCGCTAAAACTCGGAAAGGATTGCTCAGCAGCCTCCATTTAGTGAGAGAAAAACCCTGGGGATATGTTCACAAGATTGTAAGTTTTTGTCAAATTTACATAATTAGGATTTTTTATTAAGTTGCCAGAGGGTGTGTGTGCTTGCCAGGGAGTCACAGAGAGATGGAGAGAAGGGGGCAGAAAGCATCCCTTAATGGGTACGGTCATGTTGCAGTTTCTTCTCTTCCAGAAAGAGACAGAGAGAGAGAGAGAGAGAGAGAAAGTGAGAAAGCAAGCCACCAGGTCCAGGTCTCGAACCATGGTCTGCCACATGGGAGTATCCAGCACTTTAACCACCATAGCATATGTGGTAAGACTCCATTTGGATGTTTTTTAAAAAAATATTATATGTGGTAAGACTCCATTTGGATGTTTTTTTAAAAAATATTTAATTTGTATTTATTATTATTTTTTTAAATTTTGACCAGAGAGAGACACAGAGTGAGAGAGAGAGAGAAGGAAAGTGAGAAAGCAAGTCCTAGGTTTGGGACTTGAACTGTAGTCGCCCACATGGGAGTCCAGTGCCTTAACCACCACTCTACCTGCAGGCCCCTCCATTTGGATTTTAAAGAGCCCTGGGGAACAAACGAAAAGCAATCCAATATGTAACACTAGACATTAAAGCGTTGGCCAAAAAGTCAGAGGTAGTATAAGGCCCGAGGTCATCTGCCGCGCTTTGAATCCCGAAATCCTCTAGTCATTCTTCATCAGGCGGGTCTTGAGCCTGTTCACAAGAGAGGATTATGCTGGAAGCGATTGTTACCTGGTTATGTTTACATGCTATGATTCTCAGGTTTGAAATTCATTGCTTAATGGATCAATAATACTTTAGCATACACACTTTTTAGTTTTTCATTACAGAATCTATTGAATGATTAAGGTGCAAAGCCTGCTAATTTTCCTTGGTTAATAATAAAGCCACTTTAAATTACTACAAGAAATCTTGTTTAGTGCTCCCTTTAGCAACACGTAGACTAAAATTGGAATGATGCGGTGAAGATGAGCATGTCCCCTGATCAAGGATGACATGCAAATTCCTGAAGCATTCCATAATTAACGTAACACATTTCTTTAGATTGAGTTCCATAGAAGTTTTTTACTGACCTGTGATTCTGAACTATGAGATGTGAATATTGTGGGCTAAGATATAGTGTGTGTTGATAATAAATACTGTGAAAAAGAAGAAAGAGATTTTGTTTATTTTAGCTCTTTAAAAGCTTCTGCTCAGGTATAAACTTGTATAGTATTGGTAACCACATATTTGGTTTAAAAATTTTAAAAAAGAAGCAATCTGTGAGTTCAGCCATATGCTGACATAAATCAAATGCATGAGGCTAGTATAATACTTAGAAGTACCAGGGCTAGGGAACCAGCAGTTAGCATAATGGCTATGTCACTGGACTTCCACGTAGTCGACAGTGGTTCGCGTCCTGGACCTGGTGGCTTAGAACTCACGCTGGGCATGTGTGCATGCGTGCCCGAGATCCCAAGAGGAGAATGGAGGAGAAGGGATTGCGGCGTGGCCATCCCCCCTGAGGGGTGATTTCTCGCTTTCTGTCTCTCTGTCTCTGTCTGTCTGGTGAGCGCACGCGCCCTATAGCAAAAA